TGATTTTTTCCCTCTGACCTACGTTATTTAGAAGTGTTTTTAAATATACAAATATATCACCTTTTAAAAATATTTTTAAAATATTGATTTCTAACTTAATTCATGAGATCAGAGAACATGATCTTTGTAAAGCAGATTGCTGGAAAGCTGTTGAGACTTTCTTTATGACATTGTTCATAACAGTCAACTTTTATAAATGTTCCCTAAATGCTTGTGAAGATGTTTATTTTCTAACAGTAGGATGGAGTATTCTATACATGTCTGTTATATCAAGACTGTTAATCATGTAGCTGAATTCTACTATTCTTTTTAATCTGACAATTATTGTAATGAATATTAAAAATTCCTACCACGTTTATGGACTTAAAAGTTACCCCTTGAAATTCTGACAACTTTCATATATATCAGACTATTAGTAAGTGATGATAAGTTGAGAACTTCTTAACCTCCTTGGTAAATTATGCCTTTAAAATATATGTGGTTTATTTCTTTATCCTTAAGGCTTTTTACATTAAAGCTTATTTTGTCTGATATTAATATTCTGAGCTATTCTAAATGTTTCTTTTTTCTTTACTATTTTGCTATTATATCTTTTTACTTTACTTGCAACCTTGCCTTTATTTTTAAGTGACATACAGCTGTATTTAGTTTTTATCCAACCTGAGAGTTTCTTTCACCAGGAACGTTAATGTTTAATTCATTTATTGCTTTTACTGAAATATATGAATTTTTACTATTTTGTCCTTTTTATTAATCATGCTTTTCCTTTATTTTTCTCCTTTCCTGCCTTGTATTAGATTGATTAAATTTACTTTATTATCCTTCTTTTTATTAAGAACTTATACCTTTCCAGGTTTCTGATTTCAATAAGTTTGAGTTCCAACTTGGGACATTATGAGAGCTTAAGACCATGTCTTCTGTCCCTAGAAGACTGTTAAAACTTAGACCGTTTGATAATTGAAAATGGCAAATGCCTGCAGGACAGCAGTGGCATAAGTGCCAGCTTAATAAGTTAGTTTTCAGTTCCCTCATTATTTTTGGCCTATGAGTATTTTACATACTTTTTGCAAGCTCAGCCATTCATTTTGAGTATTTTTATAAAAGTATTTCAACCAGAAGTTCTTGTGTTTTATTGCAGGATGTTTAGGCTTATTACCTGATGTGAGATACAAAATAGTATATGAAATAAAATTATAGGTTGTAACTTTTAAAATCTGAAAATCTGTTGTGAAATATTTTTATACACCTATCATATCCGAATGAGAATCAAGAATCATGTTCTACTTCTGATTTTGTGACCTTGGGTAAAATCACCTAATATTTCTTAAACTATTTAATTATCTTTAAATTAGAGCACTGGATCAAAGGATCCCTAAGATTTTTCAAGTGCTAATATTCAATGGGTCTATGAAGTAAAAACAGCACTGTGAAGGTTCAGGATGTAATAATACTCATCACATTCATAACATTAACCTGCCATTCACTGTATATTTTTCACTATACCTGTCTAGCCTCAAATTGTCCTTTTGTTGACCTGTGTTGTTTTGTTAATTGTAGTAAAAAAAGATAACATAAAATTTACCTTCTTAACCATTTTTAAGTGTACCTTTTAGTAATATGAAGTATGTTCACGTTGTTGTGCAACCTTGACTTTTGAACTTTAAGGTTTAGGTCACTTATTGGTAAAAAAAAAAAAAAAAAAAAAAGACACACCTATTTTTACCATTTCTACCTCACGCTCACTCATCTCTTCTTCCTTATAACTTTCTTTCTCTTGATACAATAGTTGGAATGTGGACTCAATGGAGAAAGGGTACAACCTAAAATCATCTAACTAAAACTCTAAGACTCAATTTCTTGTGTTGTCTTATGTTTTCAAATATTGCTATGGTCTGAATATTTCTGTCTCCTCAAAATTCATATGTTGAAATCCTGATGCCCAATGTGATGGTATTAGAAATATTAGAAGGTGGAGTCTTTGGGAGGTGGTTAGGTCATGAGATGGAGCCCTCTAGAATGGAATTAATGCTCTTAAAGATGAGATACTACAGAACTCTCTAGCTCCATCCACGGCGTCAGGACACAGCAAGAGGGCACCAGCTATGAACAAAGAAGATGGTACCCATCAGAATGCAATCATGCCCATGCCTTGATCTTGGACTTCCTAGCCTCCAGAAATAAATTTCTATTGTTTATAAGCCACCCAGTCTGTGGTATTTTGTTAGAGCAGCCCAAATGGACTAAGGCACATGTGTTTTTCTTGAGCCTTTTTGCTGGATTAACTCACAGCTTTGGAGAGCTATGAATCACATATTTGACTTTTGCAGTGTGAACATAAACATACTAATTTTTGGTAAAATATTTGAGGATTTAATCATCTTTCTCAAAAGCATCTTTGATATTTAAGTAATATTCTTTGAAATGCCTATGCTATTTTCATCTGTGGGGGTTTTTTGTTTGTTTTTGTAATTTTAATAGGCTTAATTTTGCTAGATCCTTTTATGCCAATGGTTTTGCATGTGATTTAGTTAACCAACATCATTTATATTGACTTAGGAATTCCTTTGCAAGACTTTCAATTTTACTTTGCAGTGACGAGCATCATAGTGTTAGATGTTTACAACATCAGTACCTAGACAAGAATGTCCTTACTATGGGCTCAGACTAAAGCTACTGTTAAAGTGGTAGGGGGAAGAAATATTTGAAGATATCTAATTTTATGAGGCATGTAATTCACTAAAATATATTTTTATGTCATGATTATTTCTACTTCCCTATGTATCATAACAACTCTTGTGAGTTTAAATAATAAACACTCAGAAAACGAGGCCCCCTCCTTTTCTATTAGTCACAAAGGTATTCCTTCTAGTAGATGATCTCTTTCATTAAAATCAAATTTTACTTCTGAATTTGTTTTATCACTTCTATTTAGAGGCCAGCTCTTTAAGGTTCAACATTTTAAATCTGTGGACTTCTGGAAAAATAAGGCAATATTACACAAATAGTCTTTTCAGTGTGGGGGAAAAATTAAACTTCTTTTCTTGTAGATATAGAAAAAAAAAAGTAAGCTTGATTGAAATTTCCACTTGCCATTGATTTTAGAGACAGTGTGAGGAGAGTAAAAAATGTATTTCACCAATTCCAAGAAAGTGTTTTTTCCTACATTTAAAAATTTCCAATTTTAGGATGCATATTAAAATCAAGAGTTACGATCAGCTGTTTTTCCTATATTTATTTACTTATAAGCTGTACCTAAATAATATGTCTTACAGTCCACGGTATTTTAAATTAGAATCTAGTCCAAAATTCCAATCTAAGTAATAATGTACTATCAACTATTAGCCAAAAATATTAAACTGAAGCAATGGTTATGCAGAATGCACTTTCGAGTGGATACATTCCACTGATAACAATAGTAATACCAATACATGTATTCCTTACCAGGTATTGTTTTAGGTGTTTTACTTATTTCTTACAATAACCATTTTTAGATTACTATTATTAGCCTCTTTGCTGTCATGGGTGAGGACACTGAAGCAGTGAGGTTAAATGACTTAACCTCTTGATGATGTGTTAAGGTCAACGTCTCACATAATTAGTAGATGAGTTAGATATTTCTCTTAGATACAAAGTTTTTACCTGCTGGTAAACAGAAGAATTTTATGAAAACATACTGCTAATATTTAGTATCTGTAGAAGAATGGGTATCTATTTGCAGAGCAAATAGCCATACAGTTTTCCTCATTAAAACTCTGTAGTAGGCAGATTATAATCTCCCTCCTCCCCAACCCTTCAAAGATGTTCACATCCAATCTTTGAAGCCCATGAATATGTTATGAATATGTTAGTAAAGGAACTTAAATTGGTGTGATTAAGGGTACAGACTTTGAAATTAGATTATTTTGCATTACTCAGGTGGACCCAATCTTATTATATGAATCCTTAATATCAAAGAATCTTTCCCAGATGCAATCAGAGGGAGACGTGACTACGTGAAGAAGGGTCAAAAAGATCCAACATCGCTGGCTTTGAAGTCAGACAAAGGGAACCATAAGAGAGCGATGTATATAGACTCTGGAAGCTGTAAAAAGCAGAAGGATTTCTCCTGCAGAGCCTCCAGAAATGAATGAAGCCCAATTGATACCTTGACTTTAGATGAGATCCATGTAGAACTTCTGACTTACAGAACTGTTAATAAATTTGTGCTGATTGTAAGATAATACTTTTGTGCTATTTAAGCCACCAAGTTTGTGATTTGTTACAGCAGCCATAGGAAACAAATACAGGTCCATTTAGGCTAACCTAATTCAATAAAATATTGCGCAGTATACGAAAATATTTTAATAAGTGAACCATTTATAAGGAACCATTTTTGTATTAATCAACCTATAAAGTCTGGATAACTGTTAAATAAGCAGTATCCATTTAACTTATCAGTGGTATGCCCTGAAGATGCTTACAAAAACAGGCTAGTTTGCTTGGCATTTCCCCATGTGTTATATAAACCACTAGTAACTTTAAATGGTACAGGGAAATATACTAAATTTTCGTAGCATTTTTACCTTTGTCTTCTGTTTATGGCACGTGTTGATGGTTTTGTACTCACATTCGTTACTTATGACTTACTACATTTTAGTGTATGACTCAAGATAAACGCGCTAAATTCACTCAGCCTCCCCTGACTGTCCTGAGGGAATAATTCGCTTTCCATAGTTCCTGGGTTTGCGGTTTGGAGAAGAAACTAAGCACCAAATATAAGCCAGAATGCCAAGATCGCGGGGAAGACCGTCTCCTGCCAAGCCGCCACCTTTCTTACTGGTCCTTATAACACTACAACAGGACCAAGAGCACAAATATCTATCTTCCTGCCTCCCTTACGAGCTACAACATCGCGCGCCACAAGAGCGAGCAATATCAGACCTCGCGATACTTGCAATTATCATAGATCTTTGTGCTGCAGTCCTGCGGGAGGAGACTGCAGAAAGATTGCTACGCCCATGTAAACCAAGATTCTGTTCTCGTGAGAACCCGATGACAGTTCAGGAGCTCGTTCTCGCGGGATTTTCTGAGTCAGGGCTGGAAGTTGCGGTGGGCGGTAAAGAGAGGCCCAAGTCTGAGAGGGAGGATTAGGGTTCGACCTGCCTACCTGCTGTACTCTCTCGGCGGTGGACCCTGAAACGACTAGGTGAGCGCCGCCTTGTCAACCTTCCAGCGTCTTCCGGCTCTGCTGCTGCCTCGGATGCCGCCATCCCTTTTCCCTGGACCCCGCCGCAAACTGCACCTTCTCTCCCTGTGGCTCGAGCTCTAGGAGGGCGATGTACGGAGGACGGCGGAAGGTGGTGGTGGCCGCGGTTAGGCCGTCTGCTCGCCTCCTCTTTGCGGTCCTCCGCGATTTGTCTGGTGTCAAAATTACCCAGGCTGCCAGGCCCGTCCCCCTTGCCAGATGGATCTCTCTGCCCCGAAGCCTCGCGCAGAAACCGCCGGCAAAGGTATAAGCTCCGAGCTCGCCTCTCTGCTGACACCTGTCTTTACTGCGCCAGTTTGGAACCGTTTCTGCCGGTTCCTTAAGGGTTGGTGTTTCACTCTGTGGCTCCTCTGAGTGACAGCAGGAGATTGTGAAACTCTCCAAGTCTGAGATCAATTCTTTGCGACTCAGTGCTGAGACCCCGAACTCTGGAATCATACTGCTCCTGGATCTAGTGCTAGCTCAGACAGTTACTTCCTGAGCAAAATTGAGATCATTGCTGAGTTCTTGTGATTATTAAATAAGATGGTTTATGCAAAGCACTTATGAGACCCAGCGTCAGGCCCATAGTAAGCTCTCAGTAAATATTTGATATTTTTATTCTTTATCCTTGTATGTCCCAGTTCTTTGTGAATGGTAGTTTGTTGTTGTTGTTAAGTAGATTAAAAAAAAAAAAACGTTGAGGTATTTAGTTCACTTTACTTTATAGCACAAAGAGCTTAATATATGATGTCCTGAGGGCCTTACATTCCGCCTTTAAGGAGTTACCAAGAGGGTTTAAGGAGGGTGTGGTTATCTGTCATAAGTCATCTGCGATGCCTTCTTGCCCTCGAATTAATAGATTTCATCATTTATAGTGATATAACAAAGCTCATGGGCTCAGAGGTGGGAGCATGCTTGCCATGGTGAGGAAGAGCAAGGAGGCCAGTTTGGAATGCAAGAGGGAGAAAGGGTCAGAAGTGAATGAAGTTAGAGGAACCCAGGGACCAGATCATAAGAAACCTTACGCTCACCCTCCACCCCTATTTAATCCACCAGGAAATTCTCCCAATTTAAGCTATTTGTTCTGGAGTTTGAATACTGAAAGATTTCAGCCCTAGCCCAAAGTTAGCTGAATATATTTAGTTTTAGAAATTATACAAAGTCAGGAACCAAATAGATTTCCATTAATCGTGTGAAGGCCATAGGCCTTTGCATATGCTGTACCCTCTGACTGACGTATTCTTCCGAGACCTTCTTCCCTTTTAAATTATGTTTCCTCGGTATTTCTTTCTCATAACATACTGTTCTTTTCTTCTGGAACACTTATTACAATTTCATGTTCGTGAACTCTTTAATAACTCTTTCCTTCAGTAGATATTAAGGATCTGTGAGATCAAGGATGTATTTTCATTAAAAAATTGAGTATATGTTTATTAAATGCCTACTGGTGTGTTGCTTGTGGGGATAAAATTTTTTAATAATACAGACATTTTCTTGGAAAGGAAATTACTTTCTAGTGAGACAGATAAAAACAAGTAAACATGGTAATTAAACATTGTGATATGTGCTATGAAGGTAATAAAATACTGAGATAGAGAATAATGGAGTATCCTACTTTAAATAAGGTGGTCAGAGACAAAATCTCTGAGACATAAAAACAGCTGAGAGAAGACCTGCTTAGCATGTTTGAGTCAAGGGAAAATTTGACAGATTATGTTGGAGAGGTAAGTAGAGGCACATCATACTGGGGCTTGTAAGCTACAGTAAGGAGTTTGGATTTTATTTGTAGTGGATGGTTATTGAAAGATTTTAAGTTAAAGATTTGTTAATTTATATTTTTAAATAATCATTATTGCTGCTATGTGGAAAATGGATTGTAGGAGGAAATTAGTGGCAGCAGAGAAAATGCTTAGTAATCTATAGCAGTACTTTCGGAGGAAGGTAAAGTTAGGGCAGAGGTTTGCAAACTACCATTGTGGGTCAAATCTGGCCTAACATTTTTTTCATAGATAAAATTTTGTTGGAACACAGCCATGCCCATATGTTTATGTGTTTGTGTTACAAGGGCAAGAGAGAGGATAGCCTGCAAAATCTAAAATGACAAATAGCTAAAATATGACTCTACAGAAATAATTCTCCAGCAGTTTTTTGAGAGAGATGGTAGCATGGAGGGAAATGATACATATTTGAAGTAGAACCAGCCAGACATTCTGATGGATTGGAAGTAGGGAGTAATATAAAAAGAAGAATAAGGGCTAATTAAAAAGTTTCCTATCTTGAAAAGTTGGTTAGACGATGACGCCATTTAATCACTATATTTTTTCTTTTTTTTTTTATCTTTTTTTTTTCATTTTGTGTGGAAGAATATTTGGTTAATTATTGGCAGAAAATTGCATGTGTTGAATAATAAATTAATGAATTAGGTCTTTAAAATTAGTAGGCATTTGCTGAGTAGGCAAACAAATGTGAAACTGAAATAATGTATTAAGAATTGCTATAGTGGTTAATTTAGGTTTTAGGCTCAAAAAGTACTATTTTGAAAATAAGGCCCATTGACCTATCTGTTATTCTTGTACAGTGGATCAGAGTTTTAGTTTCACATTTAAACTGTCTTTTAGAATAGTATACCAGTTCTCAGATAGTTTAAATCCAAAGATTAGAGTGAAAGAACAGATTTTTCTCTGTGTACTTCTGATTGTTATGCAAAACACAACCTCACCAAAGTTAGTGGGAATAATGGTTTTACTTTGAAGAAACAACTGATGAGAAATAGCATAATGAGCAATTTTTGCATAAGAGAGGATAGACATACTAGTTATATTATAATCATGAATGTTATAAAAACCAAACTTGAAATCATCAAGAAGAACCCAGGAAACTACCAGTAGTTATCTGATCTCAATGAGAAATGTGTGAGAAAAATAATTTCTACAGTTTTTACAGTTGTAGCCATATAATTCCTTGGGGATTCTTTTTTTGAGGGGGCGGGGGGAGGGGCGAGGCAACGCTTGGTTGACCTCACAGATTACAAGGACCTTGTCAAGTTTACAATCCCTTTTTTTAAAATTTTTTTTTTATTTTTTATGCCTATAGCATCCAGTCTTCCTAGGTGGTCTCTCATCCAAGTACTAACCAAGCCCAACCCTGCTTAGCTTCCGAGATCAGACGGGATTGGGCTTGTTCAGGGTAGCATGGCCATAGACCAGGATTCTTGTTATAATAAATTATATTTGTAACATTGTTTTTACTTAATTTCCTCTATTTGGTATTTTTTAATTTACCAATATTATACTCTGTAGAGACTCCCCACCCCACTCATAGTGCTATATTTTCTGAATAGAAAATAAAATAGCTGTACAGTTAAGGACAGAATAAATTAATTTATACAGAGGTAAAACTCTTCAAAAACATAATAGAATCTTAGCAAAAAGAGACCTTAGAATTCATCTCTTTTTTAAGAACCTCAATTCTTCAAAACTTTGGAAGGAAAAGTTGTAACAAAGCTGGTACCCATCATTGGTGGTTCCCTTGGTTAATTGTACACATATTAAGGCAACAGTTTAGAAGCAGGAATATTAACAGAAGAAACAGCTGTCTCCAGAGAAAGAAAATAGAATTACTACAAAAAAGACGGAAGAATCACAAAAGCATACATAAGTTATGTTCGTTAGTCATCGTGAATATTTAAATCAGTGATTCTCCCCCCTGGCTGTGCTTCAGAACCACCTTGGAATTCAACAATAACCAAAGTAATAAAACCAGATACCCATGGCCAATATCCACTGAATCAGAATGAACAGAAGTAGTATCCAAGCATGTATGGGGAGTTTATGACATAGCCAGATTGAGAACTACTGGAAGTAAATGATGTACCACTTATTCTGCTTTTTATAGAACATCTGGTGATATGTTTTAGGAAAATATATATATCATAAGTATAATTTATCTTGTTTCAGTTATTTGGGAAGAGTGTTTATGTGAGGTGTTACTTTATAAACTAAATTTGTAAACTTCGTTTTCTTCTTCATTATTACAGACATATGGCATCCAGGAGAAAGATGTCTTGTCCCTTCTCCAGAAAATGAAAAACTTTGTGAAGCAAGCATAAAATCTATCGTAGTAGATGAAAATGGGAAGTCATTTGCAATTGTCTTATATTCAGATTTTCAAGAAAAGAAAGTACCTCTGAAAAAACTTCAAGAAGTAAAATCTGTCAAAGATTGCTCCCGGAATTACATATTTGATGATGAAGATTTAGAAAAACCTTATTTCCCAGACCGAAAATTTCCATCAGCTGCTATTGCATTTCCATTATCTAAAGATGGAGAGTCTATTCCTTATACTATTAATAGGTATTTGAGAGACTATCAAAGAGAAGGAGCCCAGTTTCTTTATGGACACTTCATCCAAGGAAGAGGGTGTATTCTTGGTGATGACATGGGACTTGGAAAAACAGTACAGGTAACTATTTTAATAACTTTATAATTAAAATTTAGTAAAGTCATTATGAGTAGATACCATATGCAGATCTCTATTTGTACTCCCATTTCTTATGGTAGCCAGTGTGTGTGTGTGTGTGTGTGTGTGTGTGTGTGTGTGTGACCCACTTGACAGTTAAGTCCTCAAGGTTAAAGATAGTGCCTTAGTCATCATTTTATCCTCAGTAATTACATAGTATTTATGAAATATATTATTCAAAATAATGTTTTGGTATAATTTAGCTTGATAATACTAGTACTAAGATATTAATTATATTTACAAAGTAGTTTAACCGTCTCAGTAATACTTTATGAAAGGGAAGTATTCTGACATTTGTTAAGCTGTATAACATGGTTAAATTGATTTCTTATAAGCCTTTTGTGCATATTGTATCAGATGTTTCTTAATCTGGAATCCCTGGGCCAGTGGGAATTCTACTGGTAGACTTCGGAGAGGCCTTCTATTTCCTTAAAATGTGTGTCAGAATTTGGCCATGTACTACATACTTTTCTGCAGAGAGGATCTGATAGTTATCTATTGCTGTGTAACAAGTTACTCCAAAATTCAGCAGCTTAAAATGATACACATTTATCATATTACAGTTTCTGTGGGTGAGAAATCCAGGTGTAGTTTAGCTAGGTCCTCTGGCTCTTCCTCTCACAAAGCTGCAGTCCTTTCTTGGAATAGGGAGGAGTCACTCTCTGGCTCACATGGTTTTTGGCGGGATTCTGTTCCTTGTAGGTTGTTAGACTGAGGCCTCAGTTTCATGTGAGCCATTCATGAAGGCCTTCCCTTGGTTCCTTGCCACATGGGCCTCTGCATGGAGCTTTTCATGTGGCAGCATACTTCACTTAGGATAGCAAGTGAGAGGGCAAGAGAGAGCACTAGTAAAACAGAAATTATGGTCCTTTGTAACCTAATCACAGAAGAGACAACTTATCACTTTTGCCATGTTCATTTCATTAGTAGCAAGTTGCTAGATTGAGTCCGTCCATACTCAAGGAAAGATTAAACATGGTTGTGAATACCAAGAGGTGGGGATTATTGGGAGCCCTTTCAGAAGATACTTACCACAGGGTCCTTAGCTTTCATTAGATTTTTGGAGAAGTGTATGATCCAAAGAGTTTAGAGTTCCTAATCTAGACTTTATACTAAATAATCATTCTGGGTTTGCATAGGTATTTGTCTAGTTTGTGATTAAGTCTTTCCATGTTTCCTTTCTTATAAATGAATTTAAGCTATTTTATTCTTGGCACCTCTGTTGTTAGTGGAACTCAAAGGTAAGTGAAAAACTTATTTAACATTTTTAAAACATAGGCGAATAATGCAACTATGTATAAAGCTCTGGTGTAAAAAGCTAAAGTAAAATTCAGTCCTTTGATAATCATAGTGTATTACCATTAGCCATACTCTCTGTTCCTTTAAGTCAGTGCATATATTTCTAGGCTTACATATTGAAGGTGCTAAATAATTGCTTGTGGAATAAACAAATTTGCTTTCTTAGGAGAATAGGTGGCAAGAATAAAGAAAGGTGGCTTCTAGAAACTACTGTATGTGACCAAGATATATAGATGAATTATAGAGGGAAATAAATAATAAAGCCCTTCCATGACTATCTTTGCATATACTTTTACTGTTTTTGCCCAGCTAGAATGTTCTTTTTCATGCTTCTTTGACTAACCAATACCTGTTCCTCTTCAAAGTCAGAAACATGAGGGTGCTATAAAATGTGACCTACAATTTAGGAACCCCCACCTTAAAACTATGAAATACCGTTCAAATTCTTCTGCATGTTTTAAGCTCAAATTTCATCTCTAAAGAACATGTTACAAAGAAGTTCCCCTTATTTTACATTTTATAGGATTACTTTAAAAGTGATTTTACTGCATAATTTTGTATTACCCGACACACTGAAATCTTTGGAAGGCTTCGAACTATGTTATGTGCTATGAAAGTCTTTGAGGGCTCATCTCCTGAAGATTAGAAAATATAGTTTCTGTTCTAATTTTGATACTTAGCTGGATTTGTCTGGTCCTTGGGGACCTAGTTCTTTGGTTCTTGAAACTCAGAATAATTTCCAGATAATTAGGAGGTTTGGGAGACTCATATAAGATAGAGCATCTATAGATATAATGACTAAGCCAGTTGAAGAAGTGTGAACAATAGTTAATAAGTTCACTAGAATTTCAAAATGCAGTAGAATTAGATAAAAATGGTCTATGAAAATAGACTATTGGCATTTACTGTTTAAATTATAGCATTATCTTCTTTTCTTTTTCATTTTTTACCTTTTTCCTGTTATCAGTCCTTTAAATTTCCCTCTTCTTACCTTCTAACTTGGCCTTAATATGAAATCGAACTCTTCTTTTTGAAAACAGTTTATTATACATACCAAATAAAGTTTGCCTCTCTCATTTCCAATTTAAAAGTTGGCAAATTTAATATTTTACATTTTTCAAGGACTGAGGATTGAAAAAATGTGTATTTGAGCTAGTGACATGGAAATCACTGGTATCTTTAGCAAGAACCATTTTACTGGAATTTGGAGCACAAGCCTGATGAAGTAGGTGAAGACATGGACACAGGAAATAGCCACACCTCTTTAAAAAATGTGGCTTTGAAAAGGAATAAAAGTGACCTAGTAATAGCTGAAGGAAGATGGGATTTTGAGGGAGTTTCTTTTTTGTTTCTTTTGTATCATTTAATGATAGGAGGAACTTATGTAATTTTTAAGTGAATTGGAAGGATATGATTGAGAGGGGCCAGTAGAATATTTGGTACAACATACATAAATATATGCATAACATATACTTCATATATGCTTGTCCAAGGACACATAGACATACATAAATATGCAAAACGTGGAATCACTACTATCTTACAAACTGATTTTTCCCTAACATCTTATTATGAAACTTTTCAAACATATACAAGTGTGGGAAGAATTTTACAATGAATATCCATCATTTAGATTTTGTTAATTTTCTATTTCATTATACATGGCTTTATCACATATCTGTCCATCCATCAAGCCATCTTATGTAGCATTTTAAAGGAGCAGACATTAGTATATTCTATCTGCAAACACTGGAGCATACATGTCATTAGCTAGAGTTCAATATTTATTTACAATTTTTTTTCATTTTAAAGTAAAATTTACAACAAAATGCACACATCTTAAATATACTCACCATTCCATGAGTTTCAACAAGTATACACCTCTGTATAAGCCAAATAAGCCCTCTGAAGATACAGAACATTATCATCACTCCAGAAAATGTCTTCATTTTCCTTCCTAGTCCTGCCACTACCCCTAGGAGGCAACCAATGTTCTGCTTTTTTGTGCAATGGATTAATTTTCCTTTTTCATATAAATGGGATCATATAGGACACTCTTGTGTAAGGCTTCTTTCACTTACTGTAATATTGTGAAATTCATCCATGTTATTGAGTGTACAAATTCCTTTATATTGCTGAGTAGTATTCCATTGTATAGATGCTGCATTTTGTTAGCATCCTCCTGCAGATGGACACCTGGGCTGTTTCCAGTTTTTAGCCATTATGAATACAACCGTTAAGAACTTTCTTGAACGATCTCTTGTGTTTTCATATCTTGGGTAAATAATAAAGAATAGAATTTCTTGGTCATAGAGCTGATATATGTTTAGTCTTATAAGAAATTGACAAACTTTTTCCAGTGTGTTTGTGCCATTTTGCATTCTTACCAACAATGTATGAGAATTATGGTTGTTCCATATCCTTATAAAATTTGGTTTTGTGAGTATTAATTTTAGCAGTTTTGTTAGGTATGTGTGTATATGTTTGGTTGTGTATGTGTTTGCTATGTGCATGTGTGTTTGTGCGTACATGGTATTTGTTTGCTTTCTTAAGGTATAAATGACATACAATAAACTGCATAAATTTACAGTATACAATTTGATAAGTTTTGCATATATATACATCTAAGAAATGATCACTACAGTACCACAGTCAAGATAATGAACGTATCACCCCAAAAGTTTCCTCATATCCACTTGTGCCAATGATATGTTCAACACCAGTGATTCATCATGTACTGTTTTCACTTTCAGTGTTTAATCGGACTAAGAAATTAAATTGCGAAGGAATGCAAAATCCTAGATTTATATGAAAATTTCCCAATATTTTCTAGAACTCTCACACCTAACTCAATAGGTAATTTGAAAATGACTCCCCTCTTATACATTGACATAACATTTAATTAGCTAATGCAACTATAATAATTTCAACTGGACTATACAGGTGTGGGGAACTGACTTCTGATAATCAAACAGCTCACCTGATAGGAAGCGAGGTGAATGGGCAATTACTACAGAGCAGTGGTTCTCAAAAGTGTGATCCCTGGACCAATAGCATCAGTATCACCTGGGAATTTGTTAGCATTGTGAATTTTTGGATCTTACCCCAGACATACTGAATCAGAAATTCTGGGAGTGAGACTTAGCAATCTGTATGTTAACAAACCCTCCAGTTAATTTGACGCCCACTAAAGTTTGAGAACATCTGCTTAGACTGTTGTTTTTCAGAGAGGATGAAAAACCTTGGTTAATTTGGTGAATTATTTCAGTGAAGGTTGGCTAAGAGAGTGTTTAGTTTATGTGAATATACATAGGATGATTACTTTTTTAAAAATAAAATTTTGGAAATGGAAATGATATTAGAGATAATCCTATTCAGCTTCTTTATTTAATAAACAAAGAAACTGAGACACAGGAGTACTAAATGACTTCCTTATCTAAGGTCATATATAGGTAGTCACTATTTTCATTCCATTCAGTACTTTTTTTTTCTCCCCTTTGCTGCCTCTATCTGGCAGTCTTTAACTCAGCTTTTAATTAACTGTATTCATTTATTCAAAGAGTTGACGTTTATTAAGCACCTAATGTGGGTCAGCCCCTGTTTTAGACACTAAAGAACCTAATATAAATGCACATGATCACTAT